TGTGCTTTGTTTCAGAGCCCTCACGTTGCACGGAGGAGCTTTATCATTCTAGGGTTTGCCTGTAGGTCTTTATTCCATCTTGAGTTCGTTTTTTTTTGGTATATGGTGGGAGACTCGTGGAAGTTTTGCTCTTAGTCAGCAGTTCAAACCCACCAGCGGCTCAGAGGGAGACAGACGCGGTGTCTGCATCCATTGAGACCGTAGCCTGGGAGTCTCTACAAGGAATCCCGGGGATGGAGTGGTAATACTGGGCTGTGATCCACAAGGTCAGCAGTTTGAAACCAGCCGCCCCTCCAAGGGAGAAAGATGGGGCTTTCTATCCCTGTAAAGAGTTATAGTCTTGGAAACCCACGGGGAGTTCTACTCTGTCCTAGGGGGTCACCATTAGTTAGCATTGATGTAATGGCATTGAGCTTGGCTTTTTTGGGGGGGAGGTGGGTGGATTCGGGATTTCAAAGGAGCAATGCTGCTCCTTCCTTGAATCAACTCAGCGGTTGCTTCTTGGGTTTACAAAAAGGCAGCGCTCAGAGAAGCCTTGCACTTCTCACTCTGCCCTGAAGCTCCACCTCGCCCACCCCACAATTTCTGGGCTACCCAGGTGGCCTATTCTGAGACAAATCATCATGGAGGTGGATAGCCTGGGGTACGGTGTCCCCAGCACTGGGCTGCTAACCAAGAGCTCAAGGCTCATTCTGTAAGTATTTGTGGCTTTGAACTAAAATGGAAAAATAAAATTAAGGATATTATTCAGAGAATGATGATTTCATTTGTGTGTAAAAATATATATGTGTGGCTCTTGAATGGTTTTTAAACTGCTGTGAGGGACAGGGTGGGCTCTGCCATCTTGAACGTGTGCCCACCCCTGGCTTGGGTGAGGCAGGGAGTCTTGGAGGAAAGAAGGCAGGTTCCCGAGGGACATTGGGCTGAGGTGTGCTCAGCACTCCCTCTGCCAGGACCGCTAGAGAGGCCACTTTTCAGCTAGACTTCTTACTCCCCCCCACCCCTGCCACCGCAAGGCCCCCCAAAGTCATGCTCTCCCAGGGACAGGGACCGGTGCCTGGGGAGGGGTTACAGAATGCCCGATGCCCTGGAGACCACACTGAGCAGTGTCCAGTTCACTTCTCATGGAAAAGCAAGTCTGCTAAGCTCAGCAGGAGGAGCCCTGGTGGCATCGTGGGTTACACATTGAATCACTAAGTGCAAGGTGGGCCATTCGAGAGCAGAGAAAGGTGAGGCTGGCTGCTCTCCCAGAGTTACGATCTTGGAAACCCACAGGGGCAGTGGTTTTGTAGGGAATACCATAGCATGCATTTGTAGTTCCAAGGTCACCTGTTCTGTTCCCTGCAGAGATGGGTCCTGTAGAGTTAGCCTGGCTGTCCTGCATGGAATGTTGCTCCACTGTGCAGCAAAGTAAAAATGTAGCACTCTATCCTCGCGTCCTCGTGTCTCTGTTTAATCCACTTTCAATCGTTCTCGTTTTTTAATACTTTCTAATTTCTTTTTTGATTGAGGTTTGCCTGTTTTACGTTGTTACTCTTGCTAGTTTTTAAAAATGTTTTTCTGTCTATGTAATCTGGGAAAGGTAAATCTATAGAGACAGGTAAATCTATCATAACTGGATTAACGGTTCCTAGGGGGTATAGCAGGGGAGCCAATAGTGATGAGGACAAGACCAAGGCAGCGTTGGGGTGCTGGTGTTGGGGTCCCTGCAGCGGGGTGACAGGAGGTTGGGGTCTCATCTGGAGACGCTAAGGGCCCACTGGGGTGCCCTTGATGGCCAGAGCCCCTCTTCTTCCGCTCCACTTAGCTTCCTCAAGCTGGCCCCCAGGGTCAGACACCACATGGCAGCCAGCGTCCACACTGGGACACTGCGGATCCCACTTGGCCTCGGTACCCTCAGCTGTAACATGGGGTTCATCAGCTGTGGTGATGGACATGCCTGGCATAGAGGAGAACCCCATGTACCTGCCTCTCCACAAGACCCCAGGAAAGTCAGCCTTGGGCACAGGTCCAGGACATTAGGGGGCTGCCAAGGAGCTACCAGTCACAGAAACCAGCTGCTGCAGTGTCTTGTGGGACCC